AAAGATTAAAAATATAAAAAGTTAGTTCCCTAGAAAGTAAAACATTTACTGCTAAATAATAAAGCAGTAGTAATTAATAAAGTAATATAAAATATAGCTTAAGTATATAATATAGTAAACTTATAAAAAAGGATTAACTTTATATATTTATAATAAGTTAAGCAGTAAGTAATAACTATAAGGGAAAAGTTAAATTAGTAAGTAATATTAAGCAGAAAAGCTTATTAAAGATTTAGTTATATTTAGAGCTAGGTTTTTATTAAATAAAGCTTTATTAAGCTATAAAGGTTTTAAACATAAAGGTTATAATAAGGAACGTAATAACTATAGGTAAACGGGCTCAGACGTTTTTTCAGGCAGTGAGATTTGGAGTGGCTAGTGGTCATTGCTTTTCAACCACGCTTACTGGACGAAACACCATTATCTGCACTGCTAACAGGTTGAAAACGCCACCAATTTCTAGATCAGACAGCCAACAAAAATGCCTTGCATAGCCACTGCGGGGAGAATAACAAATTCAAGACGTTTTGTATTTTCTCCTTCAACATCCCCCGAAGCCTGCTTTCTCTTCCTTCCATCATTTTAATCCAGCGCGAGTCCATCAACAGCCGCCACTAATTCGATGCCAATAAATATTTTCCCTCGCACCAAATAAGCCTGCATCATGGCCGAAGCACTAGGCGTTGTAGCGAGCGCAATTGCTGTCATCCAATTATCCAAAGAAGTCATCAGCGCTTGCCAATTCTACATCGAAGCGCTCCGCTCCGATGCACCTACGAGCTTACGCACCCTTTTAATCGAAGTATCCACACTCAAGTCGGTTCTTGAGAACCTGGAATTCATAGCCAAATGCGAGACCTTTACACCCGCCTTGCAAAATCGTCTGGCTGCCTCTGACGGCCCTATTGAGGGATGTAAGGCCGCGATGACAGCACTGGAAAAACTGTTTCCAAAACAGTCTCTTCAGAGCGGGCAGAATGCGTCAAAGCGGCAGAAAGTCCAAGCAACATTCGCAACATTGGCCTGGCCTCTGAAGCAGGGCCAGGTACAGGATCTTCTCCAGCAGATCAGCCGCCATAGGGATGGCATCCAGCTCGCTCTGACGACAGAGGTCACGAAAGATATAAAAGATATCAAAGCTGCTTCTGAAGAGATCCGCTCCATCTTGACGGAGGAGCAACGCCATAGAGTGTGCAGCTGGCTAGCAACAACTGATCCTTCACCAATTCACAATCGGTCGCGGCAACTATATGAAGACGGAACCGGGAGCTGGATGCTTCGCTCACAGCACTGGGCTGACTGGCTTGCTTCAAATACCCGATGTCTTTGGATCCACGGTATTCCAGGTTCCGGCAAGACGATTCTCGCATCTTGGTTGATTGAAAACGTCCTAAGTCATTGCGAGAGGGTTTCGACAAAGAATGCGCCTCGCATGAGCGTCTACTACTACTGCTACTTCGGACATCATCAAGATGAGGCGGCCCCATTTCTTAGATGGGTCATCACTCAGCTCTCCCGCCACGCAGATGTTGTTTCGACTCTGGTACACAATCTCTTTAGACGCGGCGGGGAACCGAGCATTCCTGAACTACTTGACGCGTTGGAACAGATACTGCAGGTCTTTAGCTGCGCCTACATCGTGATAGACGCTGTCGACGAGAGCGACCACCGTGACCAATCACTCGAGGTCTTTCATACCCTCGTCACTGATCTGAGGTTTTCCAACCTTCAGCTTCTTGTCACTAGTCGCGAGTACATTGATATCGAACGAGTGATGGAGAAAGTGTCTGTGTCCGTCCCAATGGCAAATGAACTGGTTGAACAGGATATTCGCCTACATGTTCAGTCAGTCCTACGATCAAACCCAAAGTTCCGACGCTGGCCTGATGACCTCCTCATTGAAGTTGAAGATGCTGTTAGTACCAAGGCAAAGGGAATGTAAGTGTTAGATTGCGCTGAGAATAGGAACCTGTTAACAAGGTATAGGTTTCGGTGGGCCGTTTGTCAACTCCATGAATTGCAGCGCCTGAGAGGCGATCGTGGGGTGGTTAGCAAGGCTTTACAAAGACTCCCTAAAGATCTAGATGAGACTTATGACCGAATCTTCCTCCGGATACCACAAGAAGATTGGGAATTTGTTTCTCATGCCTTTCAATGGCTTTGGTTCTACGGCGAGCTCGGCCCTCCCGATAACGGCACTCCGTCTGTTCTTCTATTACATGCAATTAAAAGCAGCACATTGAGGACAGAAAATGACAACAGTAATGTTCTCTATGACTCCGAGAGACTACAGGAACTTTGTGGATGTCTTATTAGCTGTCTGGAAGACTCTATATCATTCGCCCACTACACAGTCAAGGAGTATCTGACTTCGGCCCGAATATGTCAAGGCCCGCTCCTAGCCTTTTCCACAGGAAAGACTAAGGGTTTAACCACCTGTTTGGATACTCTGTTGCTCCAGGCGCAAATATGTGCATCACAGGATCTCAAACAACTCGAAGTGGGTGACATTCTGCAATTAGACAATCTTGATCTTTGGAGAAACCTGAGCCGTCATTCTGTTTATTATGCAATTGATTCACTTCTCATATGGGGCAAAGAGATCTCTGAGACCGATGACCTCTATGGGCGGGCGACGAGGCTCCTACATCCCTCGACACAGTACTTCAGGTGCATTGACAAATCTGGATATAATAAGAATGAAGGAAGGTGGTTTCAGTTCCTCTTGCAAATTGGAGTTTCCGAAAATACCTATGCTCATGCCGGGAGGATTGACTGGAAAGAACATCTAACAGACAGTGATGCATCTTTGTTTCTGAGCCTGGTTCTCCTGTCTGACAATCCAGAATCACCCCTGTTATCTAGATTCATGAAGGAGGCGGATATCAAGGCACTTTTCAGCAACAGGATATCACTGAGAATTCAAAGTGGCTTTAATATCTATCGAAACGGACATTGGAGCTTCATTATTGAAACATTCGAGTTCGATGGACCAATAATGGATATACTCGTTCCATTCTTCTCTTCAGATTCGGAGCATCTTCAAAGTTTCCTGGTCAACTACATAGGACTTTACAATCCTTCTACAACTCTTATCTGTTATATAAGCTATTATACATCACAGTTACGGTCCGACATTATATACAATCGTCCTTACTTCTGTCCACTGCGACACCTATTAGAAGTTGGAGCTCAACCCAATCTCTCAGGATATCCCATTACACCACTGCAGATAGCTGTTGCGGGTCGAAATTTGGAAGCGGTTCGTGTACTACTGCATTTCAGGGCTGATCCAAATTATGTTGGCGAACCACTGTGCAGCGCTTGGCCAGCAAACAGCGTAATGGCCAGTTTCGAGCGATTCCACGGCATGTCGCCTCTTCGCATTTGCAGAAGCGGTGAGGCTTTGTCGTTCACAGAATATCCCTACGAGGACATCATAGAATCATCGACGAAAACCATTCGACAGCTGCTCCTTGCATATGGTGGGAAAGACTTCCAATTAGAACTGGGTGAACTATGGACGAGATAGTGCGAATGACACGTACACTCGGCAATTGGAGATAAGAGGACAAAGAGAGATAAATCCTTGGCATTGTAGGTGAGGCAATAAAAATATCCTTAGCTATTCTATGACACAGGTAACTACTTTACTACACGATGATCTCGAAGTGATGGATCAAATCAGTGACCGCCGTGAACAAATCTATTTTGCCTACTGTCTCTACAATCCTCAATTAAACTTGCCTTTAGACTTAATTACAAGCAGAATATTGCTGCTGGTACAGAGACTAAACCTTCTCTCGCTGTCTTGATCTGAAGTGCGCCTCGCAGACTCCAAAACGCATGGCTTACACAGCCATCGTCAGATCAAAGTCGTATTGTTCCCGGCCACGTAAGTCACCAGTCCTAAAACAGGAAAACTCACGCCTCCGCGCCAAGAAAAACAGATCTCTTGGCAGGCACAGACCACGATCCCCCGTAGTCGATCGGCGAATGCTTAATTTAAGCTGGGTCTAGAAGCTGGTCATCAGAATTACGAGCGCTGTGATTGGTGAATTGGGAACCATCGTGCTGGGAGGGTTACGTAGGCTTGGCTTTTGTGGCTTGGAATGTTTTTCACAGTGAAAGGATGTTTATCCTCGGTTCGAGGGAGGTGGCTTGGGGTATAAGGAGGAAATTGACCCAGATCGATGCGGTGACATTTCGCTAGCAATCCAGTCGCGTTTTGCCTTGTTGTTTCCGTTGCAATCTGTCTGCTTTCAATCTGTTCAAGATGAATCGTTTTCTAGACATTGTATCTGTCTTTGTCGTGGCACTCTGTAAGTAGTTATCCCTTCAGCAGTAACCATATACTAACAAATAATTTCTCCCTTCAGTTGCCACCATCATCCGTGCCTCCCCAGCGTCCTACTGCGATGCATCATCAAGCAAAGTCTGCTACAGCTGGGCTGTTCCATCCTCATCCTCCTCCCTCTACGTTCGCCTCGAAGCCCCTACCACCTACCAATGGGTTGCCCTCGGCACTGGATCCCGCATGAGCGGCTCGACGATGCTCGTTATATACCAAGACGGCTCGGGCAATGTCACCTTGAGCACTCGCAAGGGATACGGTCATGACACGCCGACATACCAGGCCATGAGCGGTATCAAGCTTGTTGAGGGAAGCGGCGTGTCGAATGGTACAATAGTAGCCAATATCTACTGGAAAGATGCAAGCATATCGGGGACTGCTCAGTGGATCAGTGCCTGGAAGAAGGGTAGCTCTATGGACACAAGCGATGCAAGCAGCGATTTTCCTGAGCATGACGGAACCGATAATTTCTCGCTTGATCTCTCCAAGGCTACCGTCAGCGGCACATCCAACCCTTTCCTCAACTCGTCCAACACTACGCCAAGCGACAATGCTGTCTCTGGTGGCGGTGGAGGTGAAGATCATACTGGTTCCGCGCACGGTGTTATCATGGCAGTCGTTTTCCTCGTCGGGTTCCCCATCGGCTCTGTTCTCATGCCTCTGCTTGGGAAATGGCTCATCCATGCCTCGTGGCAGATCATCGCCTTTGTAGGCATGTGGATTGGCTTTGGCATTGGGAAGATTGCTGCTGATCGTGACGCAGATGTAAGTCGTATGCATCAAGTGTTAATAGTAGCTAACATTCTATAGTGGTTCCATGAACCTCACGTTGTCCTTGGGACGATAGTGTGTGTCTTGATGATTGTACAGCCTGTGCTGGGATGGATGCACCATAGAAACTACGTCAAGTACCAACGTCGAACGACAATAAGCTATGGACATATTTGGTATGGCAGAGGTATCATGGTCGTCGGCATTATCAATGGAGGCATTGGGCTGCAGTTATCCAGTGCGTCTACAGGCTTAATTGTTGGATACAGTATTGTCGGTATTCTTGTCTCTGCCATTTACGCTGCTGGCGCTGTCCGTAAGATGGTCCAGATGAAGAGGAAGGAACATGAGTTACTGTCGGATCCATCGAATAGCGCCCTTGAATTGAGGGCATAGTTTAGAGTTGAGAAACCAAGAATTGCAAAGCCATGCCGATGTTGGGTAACCTAGCTCTGTTCTTTGAACCAGACCGCTTGCGTCAAATGGTGGGCAGCCGTCACCGGAAGTTTTCGCTCGCACAGTGGCAGGCGATTTAATAGCGGGTGCTAAACGTGTGGTATTGGGTCAAAGGTTCTGGGACTAAATGATCCTGCTTTGGCGGATGTTCTGTTTGTTGATGAACTTTATGAGATCCGTGACGGCGCGAACATAGCATATCTCCAACGAGAACACATACCGTGTACATCATCCTATCACACATGTGTTAATCGGTCTTTATGGACACGACCTTGAGAATCCCTATGCCAGATGGATTCATTAGTATACCATCAGGAGGTTAAGGTACAGCCGCTCACCTAAGTACCCGCCTGTTCCGATACCACTTCGTCCACCTGAACAACAAGATTTTCTTACGCTGCCATCCAATTGGAATCACTGAGATAGCATTGGGTGACCAAAAGATTCTTGGCAATCAATGAATTGCTGGGCAAGGCAGATCTTGAGGTATGTGTACCAGCGTTCAATAAGAACAACTGCAGTGAGAAGCACTGGCAGTGTTATCATTCGTCATGATCACAGCCGTTTCACCAGTTTCTAGACGCCTAAAATGAGATACACCCCTCTTTTTTCGCCTTCAAAACTTATTCTCATCAACAATCCCTCTCCCATCGCCTTTCCCGGACCTTTACACTAACATCTTGACTATCTACAATATTTCCAGCACAAGCACTCCCAGAAACACAACAAAACAATGCCCACAAGAGGAGGAGGACTTTGGGTCTTCCAGAACCAGTACGACTTTCTCACTGGTTATCTATGCGACCCTGAGTTCTACCTTGTTCTCGGCATCGCAGTAAGTGCATATATGGTCTGGATCTCGGACTTCAATCGTCGTCGTCAGATACGCGTTAACGAAGCACTCACTCCAAAGGTCAAAAAGACAAAATTGTTCTTTCTGACTGCTTTCACGGTCTTCGGTCTTATATTCCTTCATGGAAGATCGTTTCCTGATAAGAATGCCGTGATGAACTGCCAGGTTGATGGTACAGATGGGTGCAGTGAGATGGCAACTGGTAAGGTCTGGTTAGGAAGGGTGGACTCTGGGGATGTCTATGCTATCAAAGGAGTTGAAGCAGACAGACGTGACTTTGACTGCTAGGAGAAGCACCACGACCTTTGATGAAGGTGTCAAGTGTGGATGAAAGGAGCGGAGAACCACGATTAGCCAGTTTGGAGTAAGGATGTACTTAGTCTGGTAGCAAATATACTTCTATATTTTGTAGCTTATGACTATATCCTGAGACTGCAATTACATATATGTAACCCTTGTCCAGGATGGACCCCCGCTTATCGAAGTCGAGGCGTAACATGGCCGGTACCTATTATCTGATCCTTTGTTCAAACTGCCGCACAATCCTATTTGACTGTTCATTAGATCGAATACAGGCTAGCATACATAATTAACATTTCACTGAGCCATGTCATAAAAAACGAGATGCACTTATAAGAGCTAATTGTGACGCGGTTCATCCTGTGAAGCGGTACAGTTTTGTCTATGGAATCACGGTGAAACAAGCCGTTCTTACCCAGTTTCCAATATGTAGGTATTATTCCCGAGTTCGCATGACCTCCAATCAACTATCTTACTTGTCCAGCATCAAACACCACCTTCACATCCCAACACCACGCTGTCAGATGCGTGCCCATTAGTTGGCAACACACTGAGAGTAGTAATCATTCCGTTTAGTACACTTGGCACCAGAAGCACACTTGGTGCCGCCAGTCCAGTTGTTGCCGCCACACTGACCCCAAGTAGCAACCTCGGCACTAGCGGTGGCTTTGATAGCTGTAGCCTGAGTAACGGGACCCTTGGTAGAGGTAGCCTTCTTGGTAGAGACAGGCTTAGCGACGGCGGCCTTGGTAGTGGTGCTAAGTTTGGGAGTAGTAGTCTTGATTGCGGATGCGGCAGTGTTAGTGGGAGGCTTAGTTTCGGATGAAGCAGGTGAAACATCAGTGCTGGTTATGGTGGAAGTCCAGTTGTTCTTCTGAGAGAGGTAGTACCACCAGTTGCGATACATCCAGCCGTCGAAGTCGGTGATTTCCATAGAGGCACCAGCAAGCATGATAAACTTGGTGATACCAGTGGGGGTCCAGTCTGTTCAAGTCAGTATTCTCGTAATGAAAGAGGTTGGCAGAGAATGGAAAGTACCATAGACTAGAGTCTGTTAGCAGATATCTCCTGATGTGACGAAGGGACCACTTACAATCATCAAGAGCAAAGGTATGACCCTGTATGGTCTGTTAGTCTCATCCATGAATAGAAGTCTCCGTGGGCGTACCATCTCGTGCAAAAGAATGTGGATACTGTTACTGTCAAGGTTGTTCATGAAGTACTCACGGCCAACCTCCTGACCCCAGTTATGACCAAAGCCACCCTCAAGACCATCCTTCAGCCACAGAGAGTGGTCGTAGTGGCGATCAGCACCAGGCTTACAGCCACTATAGTCACCATCAAGGTGAGCATCATGAGCACATGCGACAGGGCACATAGGGACACCGTCTGCATCGAGCTCCGTGTAGACCTCATAGCCAGCAGTGGAGCCCTGAAGCTGGCTCTTGTCCTTGACGGCATATGCGACAATATTGACCTTCACCTCGTCGTAAGGGAAGCCGTTATAGCCGTAGAGCCACTTGAACCACTTTTGGTACTGGGCATTATACGCACTGGGGATCTTGGTTCGTTCGGTCTCAGTGATGGTAGCGCTAGAGTCCCATCGGACACAGATGTTCAGGTAACCCTTGTTAGCCATGATTTGATGGAAGCCAGTGTTGACGTTGGCGTCCAGACCTCCGTCGTAGGTCTTCTCGTAGTGCTCCCAGACTTCCTGGAGGGGAGCCTTCAAGTCTGTAGGCGGGTTCCAGCCCGACTGCCGCTTGACAGGACGGTTGCGGGGCATGTCGGAGAAGCCGCGCCTGCTCTGGGGTTCGGCGAGAAGAGCTTTCCAGACAGAACCGTCGAGATCTGACTGGGCGATGGGCAGAGACGGCGAGGCCGCTGAAGATAGCTGAGATAGTGAAGACGCGCATTTTGAGTGTTTTCGAATAACGGATGAATTACTAGGTGAAGTGAAAAGTGAATAAGAATGTACAGAAAAGGAATAGAAAAGGGACTCTGGCCCAGGCAGAGTGACTAAACGAATGTGAGGTGTGATGAAACCAAGGTCAAAAGCTTAAAAATTTTAGATCACGCTTATTTATATATCCATTCCTCAACAGTACCTCAGGGTTAACCCAAGCCTTTAGCGCTATGCTGTTCCATTCTTGGCGTGATGTTTCAGATCATTGTTCTGTGAGGTCATGGTGAAATAAGAAAGGCCGGAAAATAATTCGCCGTTGGCTAATGTCCCAGTCTGTCGGAAGTTTTACACAAATCAGACCTAAAAGGGCATTTTACTGTGTCTTACCCCAGTCATTTCCGAAACTCATTAAACAGAATTCGACGGTTGGCCCTAGCATATACGAGATTGAAGCATGGATTGTCGGATAGCGACTAAGTGGAGATGTTGTAGCCCAACCACAATTCAATGGTTACGCGCTTAACGGGTTGGTATTGCTAGCTTACGAGCTTGTTTGGGATTCAACGATATCCCTGATCCAGGAGGATATCATTTCGTGATATCCACTTATACTCGAGCATATCCTGCCTATTGATCCATGATCCCAGGAACGTCAAAGAAACGCGAGCAGCCCTGAAAATCCAGCACGCTGTAGGACAAGGCTGAGTAAGATGTCGCGACCCAGGCCTACTCGAATACGACTTCGGAAGCAGACAACATACAACAAACAAGATTTCTAGATCTATATTTATTCCTGGGCAGAAATATCGCCGTCAATTATAAAATTCCCAACACCGAGGCTTTCGCCATTAGTCCACTTTCTTTACAATAAGGAATAATAATCAGTGTGCTAACTATATATCTCTTTAATTCTTAGGTAATCATATAATCGATTCATTTATATTAAAATATAAAGAGCAGTGCTAACAAGGTTACGTCGACAAACTCGGCAGCTAATACTTGCATTGCACGCCTTACTCGCTGACAAGACCATGAGGTCTTTGAGCAGGAAGGGGAAGATAAATGCGAGCGACGATGCTGGAAAGAGGGTGAAATAGTATCTAGAACGGTGGGTGTCAGTGTTGACGGCCAAGGAGGCTGCTACTTAGGTGGTGGAAAATCCTTTCTGAACGAGTATTATGTTTAGTATTTAATCTATCCTCACCAAGCCTTTATATGTGACTCGGAGCCCATTGAACTACGGAAGGGAAACAATTTCGCAATTTCAACGTCCTGAGTCCTTTAATGCTGTTTTTTTGTGAGCTGTCTTCAGTCTTCAAGCATAGATTTACTTAAACACCCTTGTGCTACCTGGTCCTTGATCTTCTTCTCACCTGCTTGTAAACTTGGTCACATAAATCCAGGACGATTCAGCAAGACGTCTTCAGCCATGGGCCTAGAACAATAATCGCCAGATCTGCTGGTACTTGCTCTATCTGCTGTATGGCCACTGGCCCAGACATTGGGGAGATTGGCGGAGGTGATAAGTAGGACGAATCCCAATAGCCTGCGCCTAGCATACAGTAAAAGACAACTCCCTATAATCGAATTACATTAAGCAGTGTTATCATCGGTATTTAAATCGTAGCTTATTACTGCATAAAGACATTTTACAACGTTAACACACTGTTTAAAGATACCAAGTTATAGTAAACACCCTAACAGCCCTGTCAATCTAGCGCAATAAGGACAACCAATTAACCCCGACAACAGATAACGTTAAAAGCATACGAGACCATTAACTCAACATGTCAATCTACAATGGCTGGTGGCAAAAATGAAATCGGCAAAAACATACAACAGCGGGGATTCGCTGGTCGTCACCGACCCAACTACTAATCCGCCGGTTAGTGGCTTGACTATGGGAGAGCAGACGGGATCCCGTATTTTCCACTACCTATGGTCGTATGTACCTGTAAAGCCCAGCTCGCTGACTATGTTCTGGCCCTGAAGATTGGATAACAGTGTCTGATTGGTTTATCCCCGATGTTTAACATTGACAAACAGTTCGTCTTGACCAGCAGCATAAACAATTGTGACCGTGTGTAGGATTATCTTATCATACTAATTAATAAAAAGGAGCTCCTGCAATTGGGCCATCAGACCTTTGAAACAGTGCTGAGCGTCGGGCCGCTTCCCACCGTAAGTGTGGACATTAATTGCTTCGTTTAGATATATCCCAATGGGTATTCTACCTCAATGCCTTTGAACGGCAGCTAGAAGTATAGGAAGGTGTTAACGGAATCCGATGAGCAAATCCAAGGGGACAAAATAGACATATCTAATAGGTAAGTAGGATGATCCCACACTGCTGCCCCTCGACCAATGTTGACTTATTAAGATGAACATGACTAAGTCTTTCTTGGAATTTTAAAGAATAAGTTTAGTAAGGCAACTAATGAAATGAACAGACCTTTGTCATTTGCTAATTGAGTTGCTTATATTATAGCTGGCTTAGATGTCTTCGCTTTTAGGGCGGAACGCACCTAGCAAGATAAAGCCCAAAATCTGTTGAGAAGGATAATCCGTTGTTGGTTATCCTTACAACTACCACTGATACATATAATTGGATGTATTTCCGCAATTATGAATGCACGCAGCCGCTTTCGCAATGTTCGTTGGCCAATGCTAGTTACGACGTATGTGAGTGAAAGTCCGGTCATAACATGTGGGGGAACGATCAATGATGGCCCTTAACTTTGTTCTTGGCAACCTTCCATTTGACGCTATGACTAGCAACAATGATAATGCACTTTATTATAGGCAGAACGATATTGACCCCTTTTGAGGCACATGCTGATTCCCATATTCTCTCCATGTTCTTGTCTGTTATGTCGACAGCCATATTGATCTAGCATCACCAGCTCTCTAGCTCCATGCCTTCTTTGCCGCGAACGATACTTCACCCTGAAATTGACCGCTCTCATCTTATCATTCTATCTGCTTGGCCTGACGCTGGCCACACACTATTACTGTCCGAATGGCGATAAGGCACCAGACAAATACCAGCCATGTGGCGCCCACCGGACAACCTTTAATACCTGTTGTGACGGATAGAATCTTGACCTCCCTTGTTTAATGAATGACCTATGTGTTTAATGAATGACCTATGTGCATGACTCGTGACACGACAATGCGAGGTGCTTGTACGGACAATGACTGGTCTGGCCGTCAGGAAGTCTGTCCTAGGAATGAGTGGCCCACTGTGCGGGCAGTCTTTAAAAGACTAACTAGCCTCTCAGGACAAAATCACACAACAGTTCATATTAGAAAGTTAGAAAATGTAGCAAAGGTAAGTACTGTTGTCATGTCTACGGCAATCATAATTACAGTAAAGGAGAAAACTCCGGAGACTATCTATTCCCACTTCTGGAACCCCCCTTTGCACTCAAAGTCCCCTCTCCCAGAAGGACGCCAGTGGGAGCTATAGCGCGTGGCACACTAGGGAGAGCTTTGTAGTTGCTATTGTCCCAGGTCTGGCGTGGCGGCCTTTCCGGAGGAGGAAGAGAGCAACTGGGGGCGCGATAGACACACCTGTCCGATGCGCGGCTTGTCCAGCCAAGAACTGTGCATGGGGCCAGTTTAAACTTGGCGTCTGAATATTTTCTTACCTGTTGAACAGGTATGGGTTTTGGACGTGGAGATATAAGTGTTCTATCTATTCAATGTGCTGAAGGCTGACATGTCACAGGGATCAGAGAGCAGAAGAACGGAGACTAGTATATACTTGCGACTTGGCGGGGACAGGATGTGAAATGGAAGCATACCATGGTTTCAAAACAGCACTTTGTGAGAAGTTAAATCTATACTACTTGTGACGGTAGATAACCTAGAATGGATACCAATATTCATAGCCTGGACAAACCGTGTCTAGACATGCATATACCCTACTCTTTTCCTCTGTCAAATAAACCTACGTCATCCCCCGACTGTACCTCGTCTCTGTTCCTTCTGGATATCTGACTACTTCATTCACGGTCTCTCTATTGCACTCATCAAAGATCCCCGATCAAAAGCAAGTTTGCCGCCGCAAGCCCGCCTCCCACAAGTCCCCGATTTAGTCGAATAACCTTTCCACCACTTGTCACTGTATCCGACCCAATGACTACATTCTTCCACCGAGACGCCTCAACTATCACATCGCTCTCGTTGCTTCCATTTTGGAAAATTACTTTAACCAAGCAGATCTTGTTCTCAGAAGGCTCTTCAGCGAACGACCGAAGTGTGATCATAGTGTTCGCGCTGAGCGTAAACTTGTATTGACCTACAGAGACAGTTACGTCGGTATCGATTTCGAAGCCACAGTCCCTCAGGTCAATGGGCTAAGAGAACCACGTCGACTCGGCTTTGTACTCTGATGAGTTGTTCTCGCTACGGGTAATGGTGATTTCTTTGGAGAAGTCGAGAGGCGTTGAAGTGCTACGGTTGGTAAGTCCAAGTAAGTAGGTAGTAGATGTTACGGTGAGCAGGGAATAAAACAGAGTTAAAGTCTAAAGGTATGAGTAGTAGGATATATCTTTATCAACTAAGGCTAGGGTTGAGTACCACTGCTTCTGACTTAGCGACTGAATTGAGTATTTCTAGCCGCTTGGCCTGACTCGTGCTTATCTAGAAAGAGCTGTATCGCGCGTTTATACTTATGTTCAAAAGTCAAAACAGCCTGGATGCCGATTTTCGGGAAATACCTTATAAAGCACTCTCTGTAAGCCTCCCCCATTCTTGGCTCTGTAAGTTCGAGGTAGAATAAGTGTAAGAGCTCATGGCGTATTTCTTCTTCTAAGTCAGGTGCTAACTTCCCGGCATTTGCAAGGAGGAAGAGAAAGTCCTGTGGCATATGGGACCAACACAAGTCAAGCCTTCCGCTCAAAAAGGGGAAGAAGAATCTATCCGCTTTTATCCATTTATATAAGTCGCCGTAGTTAGACCTGGCGTCATGACAGCTAGGGATAGCATACCCATGACGGTCGTACCAACAGGTGGTACCGATGATACACCACACCAAAACGCGACCGCCCCATACCTCGATTTCAGAGAAGTCAGGTTTATTTTCGATTTTTGCAGGATCACGGAGTGCATTTGACTTTCCCTTTTCACGTGATTCCCGGAAGGCGATAGAGGGAAACTTATTCATCATCCTAAGGAAAACATCGTTGTCCATCGTCCGAACACAAATGTCGCCTCGATGTGTGTTTCTTACATCCATAAATGGATGCCAACGCCACTTGAGCCCCTTCAACTTGAGCGGCTCTAGCAATCTCCTTTCGGCTAGACTCAAGCTATCAACCCGGAGATAGGACTCATTAAAGAGCTTGGGATAACTAATTATACAGTCCTGCAAAAGTGTGGTATTTAGACTTCGTGTCGGATGTGGATTGAGAAGCTCAACAATAGAGTGGTGCGAAGGAGGGGATAATTGATTGACAGCACCGTAGCTCGTTCCAGAAGGACTGAAGTCGTCGATCACTGTATCACCAGACTCAGACGACTCTGTCCAATTTTCCCAAGTCGCTACACTTCTCTCATCACCCGGTTCATCGTCTGTAGGCTCGCATATAGCGTCAATACTAGGCTGGACCTGCATGGTCCAGATGGCAGTCTCTAGAGCCTTGATTCTAGCATTGTGATTAGATATTTTGCTTTCGAGATGTCCATTTACCTGCTTCTCCCCACTATGAGACTTCACCGTGTCACGGTGGCTCATTTTGGTCTTAGAAGACTTCGCTGTCTTTGACTTCTGTAAAGTGTTTGCTTGTGTTGTGCGCTTCAACGGCTTCATGGAGCTTAAATAGACCTGCTATACATACTACGACTTTCATCGTGTTCAATGGTACAAGTGCATCGGTGCGGGTAGGAACCGTAGTTGGGTAATCGCCGGGTATTGTCATAGCTACATGGATTGTGGAACAGATACAATATAATAAGTAACATAACATAGATTGTAGTCGAACAAAGCCATTGATTGGAAACAACAGAATGACATTGGATATAATGCGAAGTTGAACTATAGAACTGGCGTACGGAGCGCTAATTTCCAAAGATGAGTTTCTTGAAGAAGCCATTCAATCTACTCTCTCCATTTGCGCGGTTGTTCAACCACTGGATCTTGCCCCTTATCTCGGTCCTATTTGAACATACAGACTAAAAGACAGAACATAAATGAACAGTAAACCTTTTACCTTACCAATTAAGGCAAGGGCTTTATCCCACCTTATTACAAAGCCTTACGTGTTCAGCAAGAGGATCTCTGTAAATGTGTTAATACCGTGAACAAGTACTACAGCATTGGTGTAATGTATTCTTTATTACAGAATAGCATAACTGAATATAAATCCTTTGTTTTAAGCAGACCTTTCCACATAGGCTATAAATATGACAATTCTCCCATGAATTACATATGGACTTTTACTGTGAAGCAGTTTCAATTTGTTTTGTTTGCATCGACTGTCAATTATTACACCACGCCTAAAGCTGCAACCATTACTCAACTCCGTTTACCAAAATCAACTCTACCCATTCAACACCAACTTGCCACCTTTACACCTTCATCATGAGCGGCCCTGCACCGATTGATCTCGATAAGGTGAGTCGCCGCTTAGAGGCGGAAGTCCAGCGTCGATCCGAAGTCCGGCTTCTTCAATTCATCGCATGGCTTTGGTCTTGGGTTTCCTGGCCTTTTACTGCAAAAGAGCCTGTATCTCCACAAAAAGAAACCCTGAAACGGTTGAAGAGGGGTCGAGAGGATAACAACAATGAAGAACGTCCGCGCCGTCTGAGGGTCATTAGAAAGTGCAAGTCTAGAGTGGTTACTAACAAACAGAACTCTGAGCCTTACCAGATTGTGATACACAATGCACTTAAATAGTAGCAAGCATAGCAATAGAATTATATTATAACTAGCAAACGCGTTACGGCTATTACGCTAGTAATAAACAGAAAGATAAATAAGAAGTATAAATTTATTTAAGGGCAAAAGAAAACTATATAAATGGGCTAATATTAGTAGCTTTTATAAGTTAATTCTAGCTAAATTAAGTCGCTGTTTGTAGCTAGTTTGTTAAATTAAAATAATTACTTTTGGAAGTGTATGCACTTATATTTTCCCCCTTTACCTTGTCCATACAAGAACGAAAGGTGCAACTTTCCTGCTAATGCATTACTATTGAGTAATTACCTATAGCCAAATTCATTATTGCAATTAGCTCAAACGTACGTATACAAAGGTCCAAGAACTCACTTACTCAAAAGGCACCTTTAACACGACGCAGTCCCTGCAAAGCCATCATCAGTCGCTGTGCCTGGGAAATGTTAAAGAGTCTACTAGGATACTATAAAAATTAAATAAAAGATCATCGCAAACCCCCTCTATTGCCAATGGTGGAGGAGGAGGGAACAAGTAATGAGTAGGAAATGAATACAAAACACCGCGCCAGGGTTACTTTATCTCAACAACTCCTTGACTATAAAGCACCAGAGTGTAGAAGAGAATATGTCCAGTGCAATACATACAGCGCAAGAGATTGTCGACTTGTATATCGAAGGTAATTATGTGCTAGCGTTAGTTACTAAAATAACGAAAGGTAAGCTAAGAGTGTCTATTACTTAACGCATGCCTTAACTTAGATGCCTTACCTCTATTAGTCGGTTAAGGGGTTGAGGTTCTTGAATCAATAGGAATTAGCTCTATCTAACGGTTTCTTGAGATTGGCGAGATTGCTACATAAGCCTCAGAGTGTAAGAAGATTTCTAACGTTAAACTAAGGTGTTAAAATACTTAGTGTAAGATCTATTATATTAAAAATTATTATATATTAATCTTATA